CTACCGAGAGTCTTGTTCGCGTACCGGACGGCGTACCATGAAGGTTTAGGTGATACTCCGTTCTTCAGCTTGTACGGGCAAGACCCTGTACTGCCTATCGATTTGGCGTTCCTAAATACGGGGAAGGAATGGAAGAGCAACGAGGTCGCAGTGTACAGACGGAAATTGCACCACTCGTTTAGGGACTCGCGAAGGCTAGTGGAGCGACAGCTGCTCAAGGCACAGGACAGACACGAGAAACGGTTAGAGTAACAAGTAAAGGTAACGTATGCGGACGGAGACGCCGTCTGGGTGTACCAGTACTTCAGGGCACGAGTGGGAGAACGCAGGACGAAGAAGTTGGCATTCTCCTGGTACGGCCCGTACCGTGTTGTCGGCCAGGTCGGGGAGAACGTCTACAAGGTCGCAATCCCGGCTCACCCGAACAAGATCGTCACGGTGAACGTGAATCGCTTGAAACGCTTTAGGGGTCGCTGGAGTCGACCGTACGCGGACGAGGACCCGGACAATATTGGAGGAGATGACTCTGAGGAAGGAACGGGTACCTTGGAGATAAATGCCCTACCACCTACTAGTTTCGTGGAACGCCTATCGATTGGCGGTGAGGAAACGGCCTTCTCTGGAGTGTCATCGCCCATAGATGACATTGTGGCTAAGAGAGTTGAGAAGCGCGAACTACAATACCTAGTACTGACGGCTACGTACGAGACGTTCTGGTTGGCGCGAGCGGCGTTAGCGCCTGAGTTTGGAACGCTAATCAGGGCTTTTGAGGTCGCCGACCGTAAGAGGAAAGGTTTGCCGGAGTTACGTCGGAACGCCCGGTTGGTGGATGCCAACGCGGACGTGGATGACGCGGAAGTGATGTTCTAGTTAGCACAGGGGCCAACTGGAACGGGCGCAGCTTGGTGGCTACTCCGAGGAGTGTGCTTGTGGACTTACGAGTTCCAAGACATGGGTGTTTATATTGTGCATATTGGGACGACTTCGTGTCGTATCCCTGCGGAGTACTGTCGGAGTGTAGATTTTGGAACGAGGTGGGACTTGCCTCATTGGAACGGTGACGTGCTGAGCAGTAAGGGCGGATGAGAACAAGGGGAACGAGGCGCGTGTCGGCGTGCCAGAACACAACATGATTAAAGGAGAGTCTGACGAGTGAGTACGGAGCCGGGATGTGAAAAGGAAAAGAACGCTGAGATTGGAATGGAGTTAAGGGATAGCTTGGGCATAAGGCTCGACGAGAAGGGCGGAACGCCTTGAATCCCAAGACGTGGACGTTCTGAGAGTCGTTCTCGTCGCCTCCGTTGTCCTCTTCATCGTCGACTTCGTCACCTTTGTCTTCTCCGTCTTCGTCATCCTCGTCGACGTCCTCGCCGTGAGTCGGCGTGCCAGTGCCTGCGCTGGAAGATGCAGCTTGATCGTCGTCATTTTCGGCGTCCTCTAAGTTGGACCAGTCTTCGCGATCGCGTTCCCTCTGAGATGGTGGATCAACGGAGGGGAGTTCGTAAGTCCGGTCGGCTATCTGAGCCAGAACGTCGAGTTGGCGCTGCTTGACGCCGCTGTAATTGATAAGAGTCTTCCAAGCGTCGACGTTCGGATTGATAATCCACGACGTCTTGAGCTTGGTTCCTGACGTGAGATCCTGCCGGATACGTGCCAACGCCGTCATGGAGAGGCGATTCTTTGCGATGACCTTGGGATTTAAGGCGTCGGTGAACTCGAGGAAGGAGAGCACTTGAGGATATCCGTAAGCGTCTATCTTTGCCGGATTGAGGGCGTTCTCTAGCGTGGCCTCGTACCGGGCCTGATCCTTATCGTGGAGGACAACCAGATCTTCAGCGATAGGTCTCTGGGGCTGTCGACCTCCGCGTGGAGACTTGCCGGTCTGGCCTCCGATCCAGAACATTTCAGGACGCTTCTCCAGCCTCTCGAGAA